GGGTTCGATCCTCAGCACCACATACAAACAAAGATGTTGTGTCCACCGAAAACTAAAAAATAAATATTAAAATTCTCTCTCTCTCTCTCTTTAAAAAAATATGAAAGTTTAATATACTTGTAAAAAATTAACAGTCAGAAGTATATGAGGCTGAAAGTAAAAGCCTGACCCTGTTCTTGCTGCACAGAAGCAGTCACTTGTGCTTTTCAGACATTTTTCTATTATAAATTTTAAGTGATAATTTGTTGGTTTTTCATTTAAAACGGAAGGAATTTTTTTCTTTGTCAAACCCAATCTACAAATAGGTTATCTGTGTTTATCTACTTCTATCTGGCTCCATGTCCTGAATTTCCTTGGCTCTTTCCTGATGTGGTCACATGGGACCTTTTCTTCTGGGAGCCTCTAGGTACCTCACATTGTCTTCTGAAACAGTCTCCAGCACTGCGCCTTGCCCTCTACCAAGGATCCCCCAAGGCGGGAGGCCCTCTGCTGCTGCACTACCATGAGTATTCTCTATGGGATGCTTATTCTTTCACCAGAGCCAAAGTGGAGACCAGTCAAAATGGCACCAAGAACCCCCCTAAACATACTGAGTGGAAGAAACTGGGCACAAAAGATCATATATTGCATCATGCCATATAGGGGACATGTGCAGAATAGATAAATCCATAGGCAGAGGCAGGTAGGTGGTTTCTGGAGATTGGAGGAGCGAGATGTGGAATGGACAGTAACTGCCTAATGGATATGGGGTTTCCACATAGGGTGATGAAAACATTTTGGAACTAGATAGAAGTGGTAGATGCACAGCATTGCAGATACATTAGATCCCTCTGAATTGTTCATTTCAATATGTTTATGTTATGTGAATTTTATATCAATAGTTGTTAAAATTTTAAAAAGTCAATGGACTCCTGTTACCCATGCTCACTGCCTGTTGGCTTCCTGCTTTGATTCACTGGATTCCAGAGAGGACACACGCTAGTCTGCCCTTGCACATTGTGTGCTTGGCTGTAAGAAAGTGAGTCCCTTCCTCAGCAGCTCCTTCAGCATGATTTTGAACTTCACCACTCAACAGGGTTGTGATCAGGTCCATGGAGGGGGGACACGTGCCATCTCGTCGTCTTCTTTTTTTTTCCCCATCTCACCAGGTCTCTTTCTTCTTTCTGTAGCCAGGGCAGAAGCCTGTAGGCTTACACTAGATGTACCTAGACCCTAAGTCTCAGTGAGCTCTGTCAGAACCAATAAAACTCACAGGCCCTAGGAATCACCTCCACACATGCCCAGGACTCTCAAGACACATACACCCTGGGATTTCTGAGGTACACATACACACTTCCCCAAGATCCTAATTCATTATTTTATAATGAAATATAATGTTAATGAAGACTGGATTCTAGGATTCCCTGGCTACTAATATATCTCTCCCTGGAAAGCTGAGGGGTAATTAGAAGATTGCTTACTGAGCATGTAATAGAATATTTTATTATGCCATAAAGTCAGATTTTACCTTTGTTTGGCTGGGATGGGGGGCTGGTTTTCTTGATTTTTTATTTACTTAATAGTTTATCAGTTTAAAATCAATTAGATTAAAAACATGAAAGAACATTCTTCTTATACTTGAAGTAGACGCTTCTGTTAATCAGAAGTTAGAGTATAACTTCAGCCTCATCAGTCTTAATTCAATTCAGGTTTTTATGTTTTATTCTCCCTGTGTTGCCTTTTGTTTAAAATCTTGTATTTGGAATGCTTTCATGTTAATGCAGAAATTTATCATAGTATTTTTGGTAACAATTTGTGGCTGCCTTTGAATAAAAAGGCACAATGGCACATGCCTTCTATCTATCTGCTCAGAGGCCAACGCAGGAGCTCACAGGTTCAAGACCAGCCTGGGCAACTTGGTGAGACATTCGGCGATTTAGTGCAACTGTATCAAAGTGAAGAATGGCAGCTGACCACATTGGCACACACCTGTAATCCCAGCAACTTAGGAGGCTGAGGCAGGAGGATAACAAGTTCAAGGCCATCAATTTAGCAAGGCCCTAAGCAACTCAGCAAGACCCTGCTTCAAAATAAAAAAAATTAAACAAAAGGAGGGCTGGGGGTTTAACTCAATGTAAAGTACCCCCAGGTTCAATCCCCAGTACCCAAAAAAAAAAAAAAAGTACTGAAAGAAGACAAGTTGACAGTTATTATCAAGGTAAAACTTCAGAAGAAGCTCTTAAATATGTTCTTTGTAGGCTTAGCAACTACTACTTATAGTTTTCCCAAGGACCACTTCAGGCCTTATTTAACTTTGCTGCTATGTATGTGAGAGAGAAAACTGAATAGAACTAACACAGCTAACCAAGAGTCCATCTTATTTTTCCGTGCTTTTTGAGGTTAGGTAAGAAAATTATGTTCTGTAAAAAAAAGTCTTTGGTGACTTATCAGGAACTCCAAAGGCAAGGATATGTACTTCATTGGCCTGAATCCCCTAGAGAAAGAATCAGCTCACCTACTTTATTTGACAGTTATGTGCCTATTGATCTAAAATA